AGGATTCACCAGAGACAGATCGGGGAGCAGAACAGGCAGATCTACAAAGTACACTGCTGAGGGGAGCAGCGGTTGGGGCAGGAGAGGTCTGCTGCGCCATGTGGAACTCCTCCTGGGCAGGCAGGGATCGAACTCGTTGGGAAGTGGCTTTAGCTTCTTAGTGCAGTGCTTTAACCTGCTGGGCCACCAGGGAGGGCCTGCCTGTGACTTTTTACAAACCTTCCCTTTGCAAAACAGTAGTGGCAGCTTTCCACCCACCTGTTACTATGCAGGTGCCTCTCTTCTCCTTTTCCCATTAAACCTGACCTTTTAAAATTTAAAACATAAAAGTCATCTTTCATTTAGTATCCCAGTGTGTTTCTCTAACTTGCTACTTGTACTACAGTATTTTACCAAAGCTATGTGACACTTAAGAAATTTCTCTTTAAATCAGCTCACATTGTTAAATTTGTTTTAAATTTTTTAGAAATTTCTTTTAAAAATTAATTTTACCATAGATAAGAGTTAGCGATAAAACATTAAATTTTTTCTAGCTAGCTGTTACCTACTAAACATTATTAGCTTGACTCTGGCTCTTTATTTTTGGGATGTCAGTTAGCAAATATTATTGAAGGCAAGCACAAAGCTGAGAATTTATCCAGAAAACTTGAAAGAAAAAGCATTAAGCTCTTACAGTGTTTTTCTGGCACTTACTGTTTGATTTATGTCACTGAAAATTAGCTGACAAACCAGTAGAAAAGTGACTCACAGTTTGGAAACATTGCCAACAACGATTGTAGAACCTGTATGACCCTGTGTACTCGGTATTTATGTTAAAATAATTTTTTTTTCCTCTGAAATGTAAACTGTCTATAAGGCCTACAACTCACTGCTCTTTTCTCTTAACAGATGCGGCATTCCAAACGAACTCACTGCCCTGACTGGGATAGTAGAGAAAGCTGGGGACATGAAAGCTACAGTGGAAGTCACAAACGGAAAAGGAGATCTCACAGTAGCACGCAAGAGAACAGACATTGTAAACCACATCATCATTTTAAAGAATCTGATTGGTAAATTATTCTTGAACTAGTAGCATTTTAACACTCAGATTTGTTAGTAGCTTATAGCTTTCATCTGTCAAATTACTTTATAATTGAGTCATACTTATACATAGAGGAAATATTTATTGAATGCCTTTTTTAGGATAGACTTGGTTCTCTGGCTAGAGCCATGTATAAGACAAACTTTCTATCCCTCATATGTCTGTCTGCTGGAAATGGTGGGAGACAGTTCATTGTGTTCCAGCTGCTAGTAAGGTAGCTGGGGAGCTGAGACACACACTTAGGATTCCCAGTGAGCGCCAGAAGTTATTTGTAAAAGGAAGATACGGATGTTGGGGTGCTCATTTACTGTTTCATAAATGAGAGATAATGAGGGGGTGAGGAGTGTTAGTGTTACTTCAGTTGAGAAAATGAACATGTACTATTTGGGAATGTTAAAGTGTATTGGGGATTAGTCACACCATGTTCCAAAGGTTATATTTGCAGATAAGGTCATTGGATATGTTTGGAATTTTTAGAAGCTGGGTTGTTATAAGAAATATTTGCAAATAACTGCTAATTTAGGAAAGGACTTCAATAAAAATTTCCAATAGCATGTGTCCTGTTTTATTCTTAACCAGTATAAAATTTTGAGGTAATACATTGATAAAGGAATTTTAAAGTTCCTAAATGATTTTTGTAAATGTTAGTGGAATAGTTTCTTTCACTGTCTCCCATTAATTTCCCTTTCTCATTTGTTTTGTTGGTTCTATGTTTTCTCCTTGTTTTGTGCAGATGTTCCATTGGGACTGTTTGCCAGATTGCTTTCTAAATTAGCCAGCTGGGGTTACTTTAAAAAACAGTATGTAATTTTTTTCCTTCTCCATGCTAAACAGACTGGTTCTACAGAACAGAGAGCTTGTTGGTACTCATTGCAGAATAATCATTCCTTATCATTCACTTATACAGGGGTAAAAGGGAGGATTTATGCCAGGATTTCGTTAAGGCCTGGGTAATTAACATACTACTGGAAATTAAGTATGCTATTAATAAATACAAAATATTCCGTAAAGCATAACACCAGAGTACTAATTATTTCATAGATTTATTATACATTTTGTATATAGAAAATAAGTTAATTTGAGTGATGAGCAGTTCATTCATGTTCATAATTAATCACATGAACATGATACTAAGTCAGACTAACTGACCACCAAGCAATAGCTGCTTCTTTGACACTAGCATCAAAGATGTCTGATGGTCATTGCTTCCTGTTGTCTGGAATACTCATAATTGTCTTTTTGAAGATCAAAATTGCCAGATTGTTTTTTTATAACATCATGGGAAAAAATGAAACTTGGCAAAAAGTCTAAAAAAAAAAGATAACCATGGTAGGGGTCATTATTAGGCTATAAAGTTTTTTCTAATTATTAAAAGTATCTTTGTATACAAATCTTTGCCTTTGATTAATTATTGAAAATAGATTCTGAGAATGGAGATTTTATTTTCAAGGCAAAGGGTATGAACCTATAACTCTTCCTACATATTTATCTCACTCTAAACTGTTTATACCAAGTTACACTCTAAAAACATGCTCTTTGAAATGCCAAAAATCATGTTTTGTTTTAATTTTAAAATTGTAGTGAATTTGTCGATCTTTATTGACCAGTTGAACATTATTTTCATATTCTTAGCTTATTTTAAAGTGTATTTTGCTTACTGATGTATGAGTTTTATTGTATGTCAGTTATTTTACTTTTTCCCGTATATATTGCAAAGTATCTTCACTGCAGTCTGACTTGTCTACCTTCCTGTAGGCTCAATTCTGCTTAGTATATTAGGAAGGCTGATGTGACTGAAAGCACCACAGATTGGGGTAAAAATCCTTTAATGTCTTCCTGTAACAAAATACGAAGTCTTAAGCCAGTGGTTTTTAAATTTTAGTGTGACTAGAATTACCTCAAGGTATGTTTAATAATGTATTGGGCTATAGGAAAAGTCAGAAAAAAATGCATCATGACTTTTAGGACAACCCAATATATTACCAGATTTAAAGTTAGTGTAATCTGGAGTCCAGGGTTCTTCATTTTTATTGGTTCCATAGCTTGATATTAATAAACCAACTACCCTATAAGAAAAACTTTTTTAAAACTCTTCAGCTTGGCATGCAAGAAAGACTTTGGATGATTGGTCCCAGCTTATTTACTTGCCTGTGTTACTCTATGAAAATTGCTTTTGCTGGAATTTTCTACTTACTGTTTCCTGACAAACCTATCTCTTAAGACAAACCCATCTCTAAGCCTTTGCGCTTAAAATGCTCTGTAATGTGAGCTGGCATTATGCCGTTTTTCTCCACTTTGTCTCAATCCTGACTTCCTTTTAAGATGGCAACTTTGTTTTTCATGGAGTCTTTTCTGATCATTTTAAGCAGTTTGAATTTTTTTCCCTTCTATGACCCTAAGCACTGCATTGTTGAGTTTTGTTTTATTTTTATGTGACTAATCTCAAATTGTTCATTATTTGTTGGTAGGAATTTTGCCTTATATATTTTTTTATCTTCCACAGGACCTGTGTGGAAATAAAAACGAATGCACATACCCTCGTTAGTCTTGGCTATTTTAAAAGGACTGCAGTGAAATATTCACTAATACTCTGTGAACATTTTCTGTCATTCTGTTCATTCTGTCCGCTCTGTCCATAGCCTTGTAATGCTACAGATTTTGTTCATATAATCTCTAAGCTTGGTTTTTAAGGATTTAAGGGATCCTCATCTTTTTAGTTTACCCTCATGGTACTCACCCCATGTTTGTTATTCTGTAGATTGTTTTATGGGTTAATAGCAACTCTTTAACTTCATACACTGTTACAGCTATTTCATACACTGTTACAGCTAAAGATTACTATTAGTTTTTTTCTGGTAGATTTTGCACTTTTTAAGGGAAAAATGCTTTACAGAAATAACCAGGGTGCTCTTAAGAGTATGGTAATTTATAGTATATCTTTCACTGACAGTTCTAAACCAGTTGATCAGAGCCCTGACCTAGACTACAATCTTACCCTAATCTGAACTTTTTCTCCAATGGGTAGTAGTTAAGAGTGACACTAGGAAAAGGAAAAGGGGTATCCTACATCTCCCAATCTCGATTTCATGCCAGCCCTGTTGAGCAGCCGCTTTAGAGATGCTTCTCCTTTATTTCTGCCTAAACTAGCCTCCTGGGAAGAAAGATAATGGCATATTCTGGGGAAAAGCAAGGGGTTGGTGAGGGCAGTCTAGTCAACATCTGTCACTCCATTGCTTGTCAGGATTCTTGTAGCTGATTTGTCTGACTGGGCAGGTGTCCCCTCTCTCCCTCAGTGCTCCATGTGCATCCCTCTTGAAGCTTCGCACTCTGTTGAAGAGGACACTCATCCCAGGTAGAAAGGGGGATGGGAAACTGGGCCAATTGAATCTATGTCCTTTTCTTTCCATCAGGTCAAGGTTACTGGGATTCATTGACTTCCTGAGGTCCATGACCTCTATGAAATTACTTTCCAAGTTTCGTTTTTATGTATTTCTTGGGGGAAAGGGTCCATGTCTTTTGTCAGATTTTCAAAGGGAGTTACAGATTCAGAACTTAACGCACTGTGGCACTAGATGATACTGTTTTCTATGTAGAATTCTTGTGTATTTTTTAAGCAGGAATGACAGAAAATTGACAGTGTAAAGGGAAGTAGGGTGGTGGGACTATTTTAATCCTAGGTAAGCTATTAGAAGATCCCTTTCTCATTTGAAGGGGATATGTTTTAGATGTCTTTGGCACATGAGGCAATCTGCAAAAGTTGTCTTTCTCAAAGAGTAGTAACAGGAAACTAGAACTACAAAGAGGCGAGGAATTGGGGTAGGTGATATATGTAACAAAATTTGTCCATATATTAGGAGTTAGATTGTGCTCTACCATCATGACCATTTTCCTTCTTGCTATCTTAATTTAATCCTCTAAAGTAAAAAGGCTGGAATACAATCAAGATCCCACCTAGCTTTAATATACCCTTCATGAAAGAATTCTGTGTGCCAGGGATATCTAAAATTGACTTACAGTAAAAGAGAAAATCCTGTTGTGCCTGCTTCTGGTTCTGTGTGATTGTGAGAAAAGAGATTTTATAGATGCTTATGTTATAGGACTTATAGGACTATGAACTTCAGAATGAGCGGTATTACAAATTTTTAGTTTTTAACTCTCTCCAGAAGGTAAAGGACACTTAAACACTGAGCATAATTGAATGATTTGACTCAAGCTTTGTTCCTTGATGTGAAGGCTTGACAGCTGTCTATACAGTAGAGAACTATAAGCTATTTGCTTGTTGGTTAAAGTAAAATTTTTGTTTCGTGAGATAAGTATTCTAATACATCAATTTAAATTTTTTTCTTTTATTGAGTTAGCTGTCTAAACCATGAATTCTTGAGTGAATGTTTGCTTTGAGCACATTATTCTAGAATGAAAACAATAATTTGAATTCCTTTAATGTGTTTGCAGTCATTATTTAGAAGCAAGGTCCTTGAACGAGAGAGATTATCGGGATCGGAGATACGTTGATGAATACAGAAATGATTACTGCGAAGGATATGTTCCTAGACATTATCACAGAGACATTGAAAGCAGTTACCGAATCCACTGCAGTAAATCTTCAGTCCGAAGCAGAAGAAGCAGTCCTAAAAGGAAGCGTAATAGACATTGTTCAAGTCATCAATCACATTCGGTATGATTGATTTTGTTTTGGGTGTCTACTTGTGTGTAAAGGCTCTTAATGAGCTGTTAAGTATGGAGTTTATATATACTATTTGGATACATTTACATAACTTGAATCCTTAAAGGAAACTTCATATTCTCTTAGCTAATCTGTTATTAGATAGACCCCGTTTGCCACATTTACTAATTTTCTGCAGACCAGATGATTCTAATTGTTTGTTTTGTAATCTTTTGAAAAGATAAGATACCTATCACTCATCTTCGACATATTTTTACTTAAAAAATTCCTTTCCTGATACTTAGAAAGTTGTACTGAAGGCTAGTTAATCTGTATATAGCCTAGTCCCAGTCTGTATATAGCGTAGTCCCATAGCATGGTGCATTGTTGTCTGCAACTATAGTTTCATTGAAGTTCTGAAAACAGGTGCTGAATGGGAAATTAGCCAGAGACCTGCCCCCTCGCCCCTTTTTAAACCAGATAGCTTCACCTATTTGATCAGTAAATTCTGAATTGTTTTCCTCCCTAATTTTTAGTAGAATTAGCTTTAATTAGACTGAAAATTTGAAATTAGCCTTTATTTTCTTTTTATTTTAATTATGTGTATATTATTAAATATTGCTAATTAATTTCAACTAACTTTGACATCTTAAAACATTCTTCTGACTGACTAGACATCTCAACTCCCCAGCATAATGCTATTTTATAACAAGAGGTTACTAGATCATGACATTGCATTCCTTAAATTTCAGACTTCAATTAAATCAGTATTTTAAAGAAACAATGTGTTGTTTTTTTTCTATTGCCACTTTAAGTATCTTATCTGAAAATCTGTTCCTTGCCATGTTTTTCTTCTGTAACATAAACTGTGCCCTGTGAATTTCTGGGGACTGAATTTGAAATTGCTCCTGCCAACTGTTCGTGGCCTGGTGCTTATCTGAATGCCTGAATATCTCCCCGCTGAATGAATTGCGTATTCTGCCCTGAATTCACTCTGATATATTGATTGGCTGGACGATCTTGGTGCTGCCCACTTGCCGTTCCAGAAGAGCCACCGAAGGAAAAGATCCAGGAGTATAGAGGATGATGAGGAGGGTCACCTGATCTGTCAAAGTGGAGACGTTCTAAGAGCAAGATGTATAGAATATTTTTCAACACTTTTTTAAACTTTGCAGACAGAATAATCTTTTAAAGAATAGTTTGTCAGCGGGGGGCTAAAGAACTCTTCATTGCTTTTTTGTTTGTTTTTTTTGTGGGTTTGTTTGTTGTTATTTTGTATTTCTTCTTTTCTGTAGCATTTAAGTATTTCTAAACTTCCAAGATAATGGAATTTGAGATTAGAGCCAGAAAGATAGCTCTATCTAATTGCTTTTGTAGCAGCTGAAAATAAAATAATTTGAGTGCTGAAACTTTAGTTATGCTTTGATAGAGATCATTTGAAAATATTCCACTAAGCATTCATGTTTGAGTAACTATATAAATTGTATCTCAAGTACTTAGACCTCTTTCTTCCCCCTCACTTTAGATGAAATCGTGGATACTTTGGGTGAAGGGGCCTTTGGTAAAGTTGTAGAATGCATTGATCATGGCATGTAAGTTTCTTTTTTTTTCTTTTGAACATTGGTGTTTTGGATGGGGAAGGAGCCTAAAATTAGATGAAATGTTATTCTAAATGGTAGCCATTTGGTTCCTGATCAACATTTTTTGATAAGGACTGCTGACCAACGTTCTATTAGGTGGCATTCATTGAAATTAAAATGGGTTTTCACATGAAGGAATGTCCCAAAATGTAGGCATTTAGCCATATGAGAGATTTGGAAAGGCCTACCGGATAGCGTGCAGATTCCTTATAATTTGTCTTCTCTGCCTGATTTTGACATTTTCCTATAAGACTGCTATTTTATGGTTTACAAACATTTTGTAAGTGAACTTTTAAAAATTTAGTGAACTTAATATCTAAATTTGATACCTAAAATCTTCATCATAAAATAGTTGGAGGATGTAATTTCCAGCTTATTACAAACATTAAAAGCCTCTCTTTAAATGTCTTTGAGAGACTTTCAGCCTCTTAGAGCAACATCATCCAGGAACAAACTCTACTTGAATAATTAGCAATTCTTCATTCTGAAACTTGTTCCATTTTCCATAAAGAATCTTATCCTAAGTATCTTTATCACCCTACCTTCTATGCAGCAAAAATAGGAACATAAATTGAAATTTTACTTAGTTACTAAAATAGTTCAAAGAATCCCCATTTATCCCTCACCCAGATTCCCCAAATATTAACATTGAATGGCATTTGCTGTATCATTCGCTATACGTACCTATGTTACATTTCCAAATTTTGCCAACTAATATGTGGACCTTATTTGAATTTCATGAAATTTAAATGTATATCCTTTTAAAATTTCTTAAGATTCCAAGACCAAGTATTTAATCAAGATAATTCAGTTCACTACTAGTCAATTAAGTACAAATTAATTACAAGTTTTATATTAGAACTAAAGTATAAAATTTAATTGGAAATACTCTCTTTGGGTTGGTTGGACTTTTAAAAAGCAAATACACATATCCATAAGTGCATCTTCAGTGTTTTAGCAGTAAGTCTTTTTCTATATTTTATTTTTATAGCTATAAACAGAAACACTTGGTCATATAATAGATGAGACTATATAAGGAGTTTTGTTATAGCAATTTTGTAACAGTTTTTTAAGTTAAAAATCATATAAGGAAATTGTCATGAAAACAAATCTTGTGATTTATCATTTCCAATTGCTGGGAGCAATGATTTGGAAACTACCAGACTAGGAAAAAAGTTGCTTTCCAGTCACTAGAAAGATTTATTTGCTTCATATTTCTTAGAGTTTTGATATACTTAATTAGGAATACATAAGATTTTCCTCCAAAAAATGGGGGAATGGGAGGCCATAGTAAAAAGTAAAGAGGCTTGTGTGCTGGCTTATCTCCAGGAGATCAAATTTCAAAGAAAATGAAGGGAAGCTGAAGATTTGAGATGCATTTATTCAAAATCATTCATGGCTCTGTATTTCCAAGGAAGTGTTACAGCTGCCCCAGTACTTGGAGCACAACTCACTGCCACACACAGTAGCTGTTCTACTATATCAGTGAATGTGTGCAGTATTTTCTTAACTTTATGACTTAATTGATGGCATCTCCTTTGTCTCAGTGTTCCTTTTCCAAATCTGGCAAACTAACATTGTTTTTCAGGATTGGATAGTTGGGCGTCAACTCCTTGAAGAAATTTGAATTTCCATAACCCACTAATGATAAGGCTTTCCCTCCCCTACTCCATAATACCTCACATCAAGCACTTCTGACCTTATAATAAGTTGTTAACTTTTCCATCAGACAATACACAGGGATAAGCCCTGTCTTTTTATCAGACACTTCTGTGCAATCTGGCATAGGGTAGGCCTAGCCTGTTGGCTTTCAGCAGTAGAGTATTTTAGTCAAGGTTTATGTGTGTGTGTGTGTATGTATGTATGTACTTTAACTTTAGTATAAAATCTAGTTAAATTTAAAATTCTGGGAAATAACATTAAGATTCCTAAGTATTAAAAAAAAAAAAAAGAGTCTTGAGTATTAAGGTAGTTACCAGTCCATGTAAGGTATATTTTGTCAAAGAATTCTGGAAATAAATTTTATGAATCTAGTATAATAAGCCCTGAAAGATAGTTTTAGAAAAATAGTAAAGCAATAAGATTAGAGGATAATCAGCTCCCTCCTTGTACATTTACCTTTTTCACTTTAATTTTGTTTTTAAGGGATGGCATACATGTAGCAGTGAAAATTGTAAAAAATGTAGGGCGATACCGTGAAGCAGCTCGTTCAGAAATCCAAGTATTGGAGCACTTAAACAGTACTGACCCCAATAGTGTCTTGTAAGTATAAATTGGAACTGTGGTCCTTTCATGTTACATGAAGTAATCTGAATTCTATGAACTGAGTTATTTTTATTTTGATCTCTCTTAGTCGATGTGTCCAGATGCTAGAATGGTTTGATCATCATGGCCATGTTTGTATTGTGTTTGAACTGCTGGGACTTAGTACCTATGATTTCATTAAAGAAAATAGTTTTCTGCCATTTCAGATTGACCACATCAGGCAGATGGCATATCAGATCTGCCAGTCAATAAATTGTAAGTATACTTGATAAATCTTTAAATGAAAATTTGTTTTTATGATGCAAATAATACATTAGAATATTGTCACTGAAAATATTCTACTCTAAAAGTGAAATCTCAATTCACCCCTGTATCACTGCTTATCTTCCCTCCTTTTTCTCCCCCAGTATAGGTTAAAATGAAACTAATAGTCTTTTTGTTCTCTTGTAGTTTTGCATCATAATAAATTAACCCATACAGACCTGAAGCCTGAAAATATTTTATTCGTGAAGTCTGACTATGTAGTCAAATATAATTCTAAAATGGTAAGTTATAAACGTGCTTTAGTTTTGTAGTTGTCTTTAAAATTAATTTAGGTTAGTGATTCTTGGATGAGGATTTTCATTTCTGAGGTTCATTGTATCTTGCTGTTTAACAACAGCAACAACAAAAAGACAGGATAATAGACTGGACAGTAACCTTTCCTTGTAGAGTTATGTTGAAAATCAAAAAGATCATTCTTGTGCAAGCCTTTTGAACAGTACTATAAAATATAAATATTTCTTATCTTTATTCATCTTTTTTTTTACCCAACCGTATCTCTATAGAAACGTGATGAACGAACACTAAAAAATACAGACATCAAAGTTGTTGACTTCGGGAGTGCAACATATGATGATGAACATCATAGTACTTTAGTATCTACACGGCATTATAGAGCTCCAGAGGTTATTTTGGGTGAGTAGACACCAGCCTTCCTGATACTGTGATTGAAGGAAAGATTTTGTTCTCTACAGCTGTTATTTGGGGGGGGTGGGGGGTGGAGGGGTGGAGGATGTGGCCTTGAGGATATGTGGCGAGATGGGTGTGATTTTGTAGTGTACATTAAGACAGAAAACATTTTCTGCTTTCATTAAAGCTAGACATCTGTAAATACTTAAGTAGAAAAAAAGTGATACCATCTGTAAAGATATTCCAGGTGGTGAAGCTTGAACAAACTAATCTTTACGAAATCTTAAGAGTGGCTAAGGACATTACACCAATGAGGTTTGGAAGTGGCATGTGTTACTATTTTTGTGTCATCACAAAAAGCAGCAATACTTGTAAAAGATTTTGGTTGTCATATCTAGATACATGGTAGATGGAGGTCAAGAGAAGAAAGGTTAGTTTAAAAGGGACATTTTTAAAATTTTTCACATGAGAAAGACTGGAAAAGAAAAGGAGTTAAATAAGTACACATTTTAAAATGAGGGAACTGAGTAAGGTGGTATGTATTTTATCTCAAAATTTGAGAGTTAAATGTTCATTAATTAAAGCAGGGAAATTGGGCTGCAGTTGGAATATAATTAAAAAAATAAATTTAATCAAAAGTAAGCTCCAACTAAGGTTAGACAGTAAAACATTTTTAAGGAATTAGTTTCTATCTTCTACCATTATTTTTGTCCAGGGGCACTTAGTAATTCAGGATAAATATGAAAGCAAACCAAAGATGTCTGCATAGAGTAGTAGAGGATTCGTAAAAGGGTAAGGAAATCAAAGCTATTTTGGCCTGTGGAACTACTGTGGAACTACCATAAGCCACATGCTTTATTATGCACTTGGAATGTAGCTAATGTAACTAAGGAACTGAATTTTAAAATTTTTATTAATTAAAACTTTAGATTTAAGTAGTTGCATGTGGCTAGAGGCTACATATTTGGCGGCAAAGAATTTGTCTTTGAAACAATCATAGTAGGATTTCTGCATAGTCTGAAAATTGCTGCTACGTTGCAGTAGCTTAGATTGGTATTCTCTAGTAGTGGTAGTGGTAGTGGTAGTGGTAGTGGTAGTAGTTTAGAGTATACGCAGGGTTGTGGACTGAAGGCTGCAATGAGGTAGAAGAAAAGAATATAGTAAGAGGTCGAGGGCAAGTATTTTAGAACTTGAGATAATTTCCTGTGTTTCATCAGTGTTAACGTGCAGATTTTCCCGTATGCTTTAATATGTGATGGTACACAGAACAAGACAGTTGGTCTTTTTGTTGCTATTTTACATAGGACAGTGGTGCATTTTTAAATTGGGTAAAATATAATAAAACTAAAATTGGGGTTGCTGGTCTTATGGAAAAGAACTAAGTTAGGAGGGTCCTTATGAAATTTGACTCTTCAGAATGCGATGATGTAGAATAGTGTGCAATACATGGCTACAGTCACCTGAGAACAAAGCTGGACTGGGAGGTCCAAGTGGAAAATTCAAGTCCAAACTCTACCATATGCACATTTTTGTGTAGGTTACTGTAAATAAAAACTGTGCTCCGTTTATCAATTTGTTGAAGTGGTAGAAACTCTGAAGCTTAACAAAAAGGATTAAATCAGAAGGCTATTGAGTATATTGTTTCTGCCTTTACAGTTAGTGACATTAGGGGAAATAATTGAAATGTATTTTAGAATAGGTTTTATTTATGCATTATGGTTTTACTGGGACATTTACTTTTTAAAAGATTATAATACTTGGTTTACTCTTTGCTTTTCCAGTAATAAGGCTAGCTCTTTTCTGAATAGTGTTGCCATTGAGAATTATGAAGGAAACTGTACCAAGTGATCACATCTAGACAGCCTGAAAATGCGAGAGATAGAGCCTTCTCTGTGAACTTTAAATGACTCTAAAATTCTATTTATAGGTGAAACTGCTTAATGTCCATTAATTTCTTAAGTAATTAGGTAAGACTATAGTATTTTGGAAATAATAAAACTCAACTCATCAAGCTGATAATAATGATAAGGGGTTAGTAATTGCATTCTGAGGCTAATTGTCAATCTATATTTACGCTAACAAAATGTAAAATTTGCTGGAACAACCTTAAAGTGGATTATAGCAGCATTTTCCTGTGTGCAAATTCAGACTGTGGAATATTTGATGGTTATACTTGGAAAGTATTTGGTAGGTTCTCTTTTCATAAAATGCTCTCTTTTCCAGGTTAAAACACTAATTTCATAACAAGTATGTAAAGGACTGTGATAGCATACTCATTAAATTTAGATACTCAGCTGAACATGTTCACATTGAATTCACTGCTGTATTCTCACAAATGGTCTGTTTAAAGAGAACCCTCATATATGGAAGGACTTGGTTCTTGGTAATTAAAAATTGGTGTATAATAAATGTTTTTGTTTTTGATTGAATAGCTTTAGGTTGGTCTCAGCCATGTGATGTGTGGAGCATAGGTTGCATTCTTATTGAATATTACCTTGGTTTCACAGTCTTTCAGGTATGTATTTAGTAAATGGCATTTAATAATTCTTAATGAACTTTAAATGTGCCAGGCAAGTTAAATTTTTTACTTCCATGTTGAAAAGTGGCCATAGTGTTGTGGTCATTATTTTCTAAAACCACGGTTGAATGAAGCTACTCAATAAATAGTCACAGTTCATTTTGCATGTTTCCATTTCTTATTTTGAAGCTCCTTCATAAGTTTACATTAGGTTTCCTGTGGCCAGGTCTAGTTATTTTGACTGTCACTCCTTTTTAGAAAAGAATTTAAGAAAAATAACTTTTAAATATCTGATATCCTAGGCACATTTCTAAGCACTAGTTTATAAAGATGAAAAGATAACATCTTCATGTCATGCAAAAGGAAAGCATGGAAATAATATTATAGTGTAACATGGTATTCGCTATAATGGAATAATTTAGAAAGTTTAGTGAGAAGCCAAGAAAGGTGAACAGTTAAATTTCCTTTGAGAAGGCATCACTGAAGAGTTAGGGGATTTAAGCCATTGCTAGAAGGAAGGAGTAGCTGTTTTTCAGAAAACTAAAGAGCACAATGGACAGAAAAGAATATAAATGGGAAAATTATGGCAATATACAAGGACTTGTTACAGAAAATTATTGTTTTCAATATAGTCTGGTCTACAGTGAAAATAATTTTGTACGGTTGCGATTCTGACTTCAAGTGGAGATTGTCCTCCTGTTTTGGGGTTAATAAAATATCTTTCTTGGGTTTTTTAAATAAAAGCCCTTATTTGACGAAACAAAAAGTAGAGATCTTATATAAATCTCCAGTTTTTTATAATTTTATTTCCACCTGAAAACTGAAAGTCTTAAAAACTTCAGTGGTGCCACCATCGAATTCACTTTCATTAGAATTATGATATAATGAAGGTTTTGTAGTTGGGGAGGGGGATGGGATTTGGAGATCCTTGCTCATATTGTTGAGATGGATTCGAGGTTACAGCATTGCTGGATAGGGGAGGAAGCTTAGTTAAAAGTGTTAATAATCACTTAGATGGCTTTTGCAAATGTGTTCATGGGGTACCTTCACCAGACTTCTACTTCTATCTAATCTCTACCAAATCTGTTCAAAATACTCTTTGAGTTTTGGGCCTCCTTAGTGGCATGCAGGTTAAGTCACAATACTGTCACCACTATAGCCTGAGTTCGATCGCCTGCCAGGGAGCTAACCCACATGCATGGCACAGCAGATCTCTCCTGTCTTGCGTACTGTTTCCCTCAGCAGTGTATTTAAGTAAATTGCCTCTTTTGTTTCCCACTATGTCTCTAGTGAATCCTCTGACACCACCCCTCCAACACACACACACACAGATTGTACTCCCTCCCCCCTGCCTCTGGCTTACACTCCAGTTCTTCCATGCAATAAGTAAATAAATCTTTAAAAATTGAAAAGTTGAACACACCATACTTTCTTCATATTCCGATACTTGCAGGCTATTATGAATTTTCAGGTGACATGCAAATTAACATTGCTTTCAGATATGGTTCTTACTTGGATTCCACTAAAATATTCTTCAGTTAAGTAACTATTTAAATATGGTCTAGTATTATTTATTCTTGTCATAAATTTTGACAGCACAGTAGTGGATAGATTAATGAAAGCAAACATGTAGCCTCAGTTCTCCAGAATAAGGTTTAGCAACCTCGTTGTACCCTACCTGACACATAATTTAAAAGTTCACTGAGACAGGCAGCAGCCCTTCTGCCCACCCATGACTAAGCAGTGCAGCTTTTCATCAACCTTTTCCTTTTGTAGAGTAGGTGCACAGCTTGTGGCCATATCAGTGCTTCTCTTCAGTGAACTTTCTGCAAAGCAGCAGAAGCATCTCTCCTCCCCAGGCTCCCTATCTGCAACTGTGCAGGCCTCTGAGCAAACCTGTCTCAGCTGTTTTTCCCCCTTGTGTCTATTATGCAAGTGTCCTTTATCCTTTTTTTTTATTTTTTTCATAATACACTTGCCCTTTTGGATATGTATAAACTGACAGAAACTACTTGAGACCAGCCAAATCTACAGAAAAGGTTTACTAATCTCTGCTCTAGAAGTGTAACATTTCTGATGTTAGTCTGGCAGTTTTTCTCTATTCTCCTTTAGCCAAAGGTCTCTATGATATAGTATTAGAATATGAGTATTGACTATGGTTCAAAGCTCAACTTTCCCTCATTAAGGAGCTGTATGACCTTGAGTTTTAAACTCACGTTCCCACTTACTCACTTAGGATTAACGTGAAAATTACTGGAATTGTATTGAGTAGGGTTAGTAAATGTTACTTGTTGTTACCCATTGGGTAATTGAAGTTAATTTTGGTTAAAAATGAGGAAGCTATTTTTCTGGTAAGCTTCCCCACTTGTTCCTCAACTAAACAATGCAAGAACTACAAAATGAATAAGGAAACAGTTCATTTTTCAATTATGTATCAACTACTAAAAACCTTTTTGATCACTTTTAGAAATACTAGTTTTATTGGGTTTGTTCAGATAATATAGCACATACATTAATGTTTCATCTTTGAAGTAGAGTGTAATGTATCAATTGTGTGCTGTTCTTTTTGTCAATACATTGTACACACAGGGAAATGTAATGTGTTAAATTTCCTTTTCTTGTGTTTCTTAGACTCATGATAGTAAAGAGCACCTGGCAATGATGGAACGAATATTAGGACCCATACCAACACACATGATTCAGAAAACAAGGTATGCCAGAAGATTAATAAAGCTCTTTGTTGTAACATGCAAGGCCCTATTTTCAAATGACAGAAAACCCAACTTTGTTACTTCTTTCAAGGACTGCATATTTTAAAATGTAAACGCCGTGTGTGTGTGTGTGTATACATTCACATATATGCACACATACACTTGTAATCTAGTAAACAGTTTTTTTTCTTTTTTTTTTTTACTTTGAAGTGAAATGCTTTTCTAAGTTGATACAACAGTAATATTGGAGCAGTAAAAAGAATTTGATTTTGGCCTCTAAATTTGAATTTCATATTATTGCTGACCAGTTAAATGTATGTCTTTGAACAAGGTAACTATAATGATTCCAAAGAGATTCACCACAGAAGTCACTAGGGAGTTACTTCTTTAAAAATTGTTTAAATTTCCAGCTGCCCCATTTCCAGATCTGGTGAAATCAGAATTTATAGGAATGGTTCCAGGATCCGCTGTGCAGCTGGCATTGTTTCATGTATGGTATTTGGGGATAACTAAAGTGAGTTACTCTCCCTCAGAGGGTATTAAGATTCAAGAAGATGGTATAAAGGGTATCTAAGTATATGTATATTTATATATTTGCCTAGAGAAAGGCTTATTCTCTGATCTGGTGACAGCTGGGTAAACGTGAATATTATTTTTACTAATCTAAACTTCTTTTTCCTATAGAAAACGCAAGTATTTTCACCATAACCAGCTAGATTGGGATGAACATAGTTCTGCTGGTAGATATGTTAGAAGGCGCTGCAAACCATTAAAGGTAAAAAAACAAAAAAGTGTTAAAGGACGAAGCAGCTTCAACTTTTTTTGTTTTGCGTGCATAAAAGAACTGAAGTATAGAGTAGAGCTGTATGGGGGATGAGAGGATTCACCAGAGACAGTGGGGAACAAAACAGATGGATCTACTGAAACAACACTGCTGATGGGAGCAGCAGACAAGACAGGAAAGGTCTGCTATGCTACTTGGGTCAACTCACTGGGCTAGGGATCCAACTCAGGCCTTAGCAGTGATAGCACTGATACGGCCCTTTAACTGTTTTTTTTAAATGCTTTTCTCAAAAACATTTTTCCCCCTAGGAATTTATGCTTTGTCATGATGAAGAACATGAGAAACTGTTTGACCTGGTTCGAAGAATGTTAGAGTATGATCCAGTGAAAAGAATTACTTTGGATGAAGCATTGCAGCATCCTTTCTTTGATTTATTAAAACAGAAATGAAATGGAAATCAGTGGTCTTACTATATTATATATTTCTCTAGAAGAGATTACTTAAGACTGTGTCAGTCAACTCTAAACATTCTAATATTTTTGTAAACATTAAATTATTTTGTACAGTTAAGTGTACATATTGTATGTTTTGTATCCTAACTATCTTGTTGAGCAAGTATGGTCTTGATAATGAAATATAAAAAGTTAAAAGTTAATTGTTAATTTTCCTTTTTAAGATTAATTACCATTTTTAAGAACTTTGGATTATTCTTTGTGCCCAGTGATAAATGTGATTGATCTTGTCTTTTGTACTTGGAGGTCAATTCTTTGAAGTGGATTTTTTTTTTTTTTTTTTTTGAGTAAAAGGAAATCTTGACAACTTTATTCCTAAGTGAATATTCTTTATATACTCTCAAGTTCAAACCTTTTAACTTTAAAAAATATTTTTAATCATCATTGAGTAGGTAATAGTATTAAATGTAGGTAGGCAGATATTAGAAGCCAAAACACACAGGAGATGTTTATAGTTGGAATTTCATTGAATCCAAAGTATTGTGTACTCATTTGAGTTGATGTAAATGGTGACAAGTATTTATGAAAAGGCATCTGTCTGTTGTGACGGCTGTTTAATTGAACTACATATACACTTTATTTAAGAATAAAGTAATTAGAAAGTCGTATGTGGTGAGTCACATAGAAAGGAATTTATTGTTTCTTAGAGACATTTAACCTTTTAGTCTTTGATATCAAATCTTGAGGAGTTCTGAAATTGTCTAGTTCTATTTCCTTATCAAATGAAAGAAATACTTAAACCTCAGCCTATGAGAATTCAACTACTACAGTAGTTTATATTTGTGTTAATCTTTTCTTAAGAATGATTGGAAAATATTTTAGGGGAAAAAAGCCTGCAGAAATTTCCAAACATTAGTTTCTTAGACTTTTTCCTTTGCCTGTGTTTTTTCTTACTTTTACCTATTTTCACATTTAAAACTGCATGGTAAGTGTTACTTTACATGAAGGACAAAAACAATTGATAGCCGCCACGTAGAAAAGTTTTTTGTTGTAGAATTCATAATTGCTTATTCAAGTACAGATACTTTTTGTTTATAAGTATCCCCTGTTTTAAAATGTATTTTACAAAAGATTTGAATTTTATCTGTGCATTGTAAGCATAAATTGTATGAAATTTTTTTGTTTGAGAAATGGTGAAATCAGGGTTGATTCCCTACATTATTCACTGGTGGCATTTGCCAGTGTAATAATACTATGTAAAGTTGATTGGGAATTTAAGAAAGCTGAACTTTTACCATAGAATCATCACATAAAATATGCTAGATCTCAAAACATACACATGTTGTGGATTTTCCGAATAGATTAACTATATTGTTTTTTTTGTTTGCTTGTTTGTTTTCTTTTGCGGGGGGAAGTATTTGATGTAAAGAAAAGGTTGTCAATAGATTAGGCAATGTTGCTATCAGATTAAAATGGCTGTCAACCTTTACTTTCTCCTCCATTTTCATTCTACCAGTACTACTGTACTACCTAAGCCTCCTGTCCTTTCCCTACAAGTCTGTCAAGTTATCAAAATGACTACTTTTTCTCCCAGAGGAGAAACTTATTACCTGAGTAGCTGCTCTCAGGATATAGGAAGAAGGAAAATAATCCACATTTCTAAGAAGTTAGTGTTTGCTCACATCCTTTCCTTTCTAAAAAGTGTTCACATTTTTCATAAAGATATTTGCTAATTCCTAGACCTAATTCATGGAATTTTAGGAATTAAAAAGAAATTTCAGTAATAAGAGTAGAGGAAATGTTTATTGGGTTTTAGTGACTTCTTTCCTTCGCACACTGGCTCATTTTAGACAGCCCCAGGTTTTTACTTGACAGTGCCAGGAGCTTCAGCACTTAGGTCCAAATTTATAACAGTAATTTGGGTACTTTTTTTTAATAATTTGAAGCCTTAAAATATTTTCTGAAAAGTCCATTGAAGTCAAACTTGGTTTTTATGAGGTATTTTTAAACATGATCTTAGATTATTTCCAGTACTTCCCTATTAGGTATTATCTATTCATCATGCATTCATCAAGATTTCAGGGTACATGAAATTAAATCCTGTAGCCTTATTACTCTGGTGATAGCTATAAGTTATCTTATGCATTTTTATATAGGCATGTATGGTTTAGTGATGTTTTGGTCAAAGGCAGATCACATATCCAATGATGTCCCCAATAGCCTGTACCATGTAGGTTGGTGTAATTAACGCTGACATCACATAATGATGAAATTGCCTAACACTCCTCGGAACATGTCCCATCATTAGGTGATTCATGATCAGTTTTATTTTTGTTTTTTTAATACATATTTATTTATATACAGGCCAGAGGTTAAGAGGCAGAGGATTCACTAGAGACAGTGGGGAGCATAATAGGCAGGATGAGGTACATTGCTGTGGGGAGCAGTGGGCGAGACAGGAGAAGTCTGCTGTGCCATGTGTATCAACTCTGGGGTGGGGGATCAAACTCATTGAAGGGACTGCCCAGCTTGCAGTGCTGCTCCCTAACTTGTTGGGCCACCAGGGATGGCCACTAGGTGGTACAGAAAGTGGAAATGATTTGGCCACATTTCCCAATAATTGTTACTGAACTGTTACTTAAACTTAGGTTTTCTAGATTGTAACATGCTTTCCTATAATAATGTACCTCTTGAGACAAAAACTTCACTTTTCTATGAAATGGGATGAAGTGGAAAGCAGCAGCTAGTAGTGTTATACATGAATTCCAATACTTTTCACTGCCCTTAAATGAGCTGTAGTTGCAGTCATTAAATGGTGTGGTCATTTAAAACATGTAAGTGGGCACAGAGGTATTAATACTTAAAACTTCTGAAATAAAGTATTTGTCAGGTGATGTGGGTTTGTAATTCTTCAGCCTGGGATTTCTTATTCCCTTAAAATTTGGTGCAACTTAAATATTTAAAATGTATCCAATGCTAATTAACAAGTTGCATTTTCAAATAACCTTTAATTATGAATCAGTAATTGTTGGATTATTAGATTATGTGTTTGCAAATAGAAACAATTCTAGTTCCTGAGAATTGACCATTAGAGCACATTTCGGGAGGTTAGTATATCTCCAGCTAAAATTATTTTACTATCTTGTGCATCTTAAAGTATGGGGGATTTCCTTTCTTATGGAAACAACATTGCATTATGTCTCATGTTCACTGATGAGAATGTGTGCATATATTACATTACTCTCACTGCTATCCAGTCATTCCATTCTATCCATCATACTATTATCTATGTCTCAATTTACCCACCCTTCTTTCCTCTTCCCTTCTGGTAATCAGTAATGGAACTTAAAAGAGCCCAAAAGTTTTTCTTTCTTTCTCTCTAATATACAGAACTGGGGTACAGGCCAGAGATGCAGAGGATTCACTAGAGACAGAGTGGGGAGCAGAACAGGCAGATCAATGAAGTATACTGCTAAGGGGAGCAGAGCAGGCGGGGGCCATGCCATGTGGATTTCCTCTGGGGCAGGCGGGGATGGAACTCCTGCAGAATGGGCTTAAGCTTCTTAGTGCTGTGCTCTAACCCGCTGCGCCACCAGGGAGGGCCCTTTTAATTTATTTAAACTCTTATCCAGAGACCATATTAGAGTGAAATCATTTATTCTTAGAATACGCACATTGAAACTCACACCCGTGTTAAATGCACAAATTCCCCCTCAAAAACAAATCAACATAAAGGGTCACTGATAAGAAAAAGGGCAAAATATTGTGTGTAATATATAGTGTTACAGTACAAACAAAAGGAGTGAAATGTAGCTACATTGGAAAAATTCAGTGAGTTTTATACATAAAGAATAAAAGCAAACTGCTAGACGGTTTTAATATGTTACCATTTTTATAAACCTCAAGGAAAAATAAAGCCAAACAGTATAGTATATTCATTATTTTTAAAAACAGGAATAAATTTAGGGCGATGGTTATCTCGAGTGGGGTATAGGCATAACCTGATGCAGATAATAAAATGAGGAAGGTCCATGGAGTGAAGATGAAACTTATTATTTTAATATTTACAATTTACATCATTGTAAATGATGTAAAAATGATTTTCCTTATTTTTCCCCCGATCCCTTATTTGCTTCTATATTCCTTCTAAAAGTGAAACCAGTTGATAGTTTTCTTTTTGCTTCTGGCTTACTGCACTGAGCATAATCCCTTCTAGCTCCATCCATGTTGCTGCAAATGGCATGAGTTTTATGATTGTTGAATAGTACTCCATTGTGTATGTACACCACATATTACTGATCCAGTTTTCTATTTTTGGGTATTTGGATTGTTTCTCTAACTTAGTTATTGTAACTGTAGTGCTACAATAATGAGAGGGATGCAGGTATCCTGGATGGTTGGGGCCCTGCCTTCCAGAACCAGCTTTGGCCTGTTGGGTTAGCATTCTGTTACTGTGTTGGTATTCTGGGTTGGGGGGCACCCAACACAATCCCATGATTATTTCTCAGTCAGGCTGATAATTAGACTTGGGACACCTGAACATGGGGCACCCTCTTGGTTCTCACAGTTGTTTCTTAGATTGATTTGGGGGCTTGGGGTACCCTGTTCCTGTCTGTACACAGTTCCTAACTTCCTCATTCACTGTGGGAGAAGATGGGTGCAGAGACAGGTAGCAAGGTCCCGAATAGAACAGGAATAATTCCTCCTTGGTAATCCTGCATAGAGGCTGTATTTTAGATGTTCTTTTATCCTTATTTTCTGCTTACACCCCCACCCCCATTTATTAGCCTCATTACTAACTACACACCAGATTGTTATACTCAGGCTAGGAAAAATAATATTACTCTTTATCTCTCTCATTGTTTTCTGTATGTTCCCTTATTAGTCATAACCTGGGCTGAGCTATGATTCATTATAGAAAAGTTTTGTAGCAGAGTCAGTGAGTTTCTTGATTAGTCTTCATGTTTATCTTCAAGATTTCAGTTTGCAAAATCTAGATAAATATCTACCAGGCCCTATCTTCTTCTTCATTCAACAGGGATCCAGAAGACACTGAACAGGCTCTCATCATCCTCCATCTCCCTCCTGCCCTCCCTCCCCTTACCTCCTTTCTCTGTCCCCTCCCTACCTCCCTCTGCAGTCTGTCAAAATCTATATTTGTGCATACATTTGGCAGTAATTTTCATCAGCCTACTACAGGTGTAAATACATTTCCAATGATAGATGAATGAAATCATGGCCAGTTGACTCAGAAGTAGTTCTTTCTCTGTCAGATGCATTCACTTCAGCCAGGCAGCAGTTGTTAGTAGTAACAGGTGTGTAGATAGTACACATGGAATAGTGAGGGAAGAAGACCAGCTACACTGAAAATCAGCTGAGTCAATCTTGGCGATCAATATGGAATAACATGTAATGATCTCATTGTTGATGCATACTGAAGTCTTACAAAAATTGTTTCCTTCCTCTCTTCATTTCTTCTTTTCTTTACTTTTTCCTTCCACAAGTACTTCTTAGATTATTCCAAATACTGTGAGAAATGCTAAGAAAGTACTAGGTAAGTTAGACTCGAACCTTGACCAGGAACTTACAATTCTCTTGGAAAGTCATACAATTACCACACAAATCAAGGCAAATAAGGTAAAGCTGTTAAATCCACAAGTCTGGATAACAGTCAAAGAAAGTTTCCCTGAGGAAGTAGCTTGTAAGGTGAGACCTGAAGAGTGAATGTGCCAGACTAATGGCACAGCAGGTAGAAAGTAGACAATACGAGTCTTTGGATAGACAAAAATGGGTATAGAGAGAATCCGTAAGGAATTGAAGTTTGGCAAATGAGTGTTGAGATTATAGATGGTAGACAAGAATCAGGTCATGGATAGTCTTGTAAGTTGTACATGTGTTGATAGTATGAAATTTCAGGTTATAAAACTCAGATGTGAATGATGTGTTTTACTTCAACAGAATTTTAATTTAAAAACTGCAATAAAAATTAACTAGCTGTTTACCCAAAAAAAAAAAAAAACCTTAAATAACCTTGGAGGAAGGCACGTCATAATCTAGCTCTTTCAGATAACTATCATCACATGTAATGAATGAATTAAAGAGTAATTGTAGATGGGGATGTGGGGGAGGGGCTCCCCACTCCCTGGTTCACAGCAACCTAAAATGTGTGTTGTCAAAATTGCACACATGAGAACAAGTTTCCTTGTGTGAACATGCTTCACCAGCGTGATCAGATTCAGACTCTGGAGCTCTGTGTAGGTGGACAAGTCTCTGGTCTCATCTATGAGTAGGAATACTAAGCATAATTTCCCCAGGATGGTTGTGAGGATTAAATGACTTGTATAAAAGGCTAATAGTAGCTATTTTTCTCACTGTTTCATGATATATTTCCTATATTCTTTATATATAGTGCTCTACCATCTACAATTTATGTTTCTGTTTTTGGTTTTAATCCTATAGGGACCCAGTGTATGAAGTGAGTATCTCCATTTTAATGATTGCATAGTATATCTTTTTCCATTGCTTTTTTAATTTTTTTTGTCTATAAAGTTTTATGTAGAAGGCATATAGTTCAGTTTTGCTTTTTATCTAATTTGACAGTCTGCCCATTGTGTCCTTAAACCACATAGATTTAATGTGATTATTGATAGGGCTTGGTTTACATCTTCCTATTTTTACCTATGTCTAGTTG